GGGTGGGTGGGTGGGTGAATGGTTACCTTTTGTCAGAGACATTGCCTTATTTCTTCTCCGAGCTAAGTGCTGGCTTATTCACCTTTCTCCACTATCGTTTTCAGCTATGTTCATTTTCTGCCTTTTCCAAAATAGGTTCTGCAACTTGGAGGGACGGAGGTGGGCGTGGCCCTGATGAGCTGGAGGGCCCGGACTCCAAACTTCTTCATGGCCATGATCCCCGGGGGGGACTGCAGCCTTCGGGCCCACCCCAGTTCCCTCCCTATCGAGGAATGATGCCGCCCTTCGTGAGTTTGGATATGTTGTTTTGGAGTGGTTGCACTGGAAGCTGAAGAATTAGGAATTAGGACTTAGTCTTTAAAGGGGATAGGTAGAAAGTCGGGGCCTGTGACATAGAGTAAGGGTGAGGAGAATGGTAGGTTTAGGGAGCTGGTAGGCTATTTGACTATGCCTCTGAAAGCTGTTGTTGGGCCCTTTTGCAGATGTATCCCCCTTATCTCCCGTTCCCTCCACCCTATGGACCCCAAGGGCCTTACCGATACCCCACTCCTGATGGGCCCAGGTGAGTAATCCCAGGTCTGGGTTTGTGGTTGGGAATGAGGGAAGCTTATTGGAGAAGAGATGGTTTTTCTGGCCAGGAGGCTCAGTCTTGTATGTGGTTGTACACCATGCCATCTTTTACTCTCTTTCCCATTTGCTTTTTCGTACACAGCCGTTTCCCCCGTGTGGTAGGCCCCCGGGGCTCAGGGCCGCCAATGCGCCTCGTAGAGCCTGTAGGTCGGCCTTCCATTCTAAAAGAGGATAATCTCAAGGAGTTTGACCAGTTGGACCAAGAGAATGATGATGGTTGGGCAGGTAAGTGGATATTAAGGATCAAGCATTTTGGTCTTAAAGACAAAATCTGATGAGGAAAAAATGGGTAGTTATGTGAAAGCAAAGCAGATGTCAAACAAAGGGTAGGAGAAATACATGGAGGAAAGCCAAGTCCTGGTAATGAACTGAGAGGAGTGAGAATAACAGCGCTCCTGGTGGATTCAGACTTTTTTTGCGGGGGCGGGGGCAGGTTGGCATTGGTATGCATTTCATCATGTAGTTCCAGACCACTTCCTGTGGTCCAAGAGATACCTGAGATTGGAAAGCACAGTAATTGCATTATTACTCTTCACATTTTCCCTCAGGGGCCCATGAAGAGGTCGACTACACTGAAAAGCTCAAGTTCAGTGATGAAGAAGACGGGCGAGACTCTGATGAGGAGGGAGCTGAGGGCCAGTGAGTTAGGGTCCTCTGGGGAGCGGAGGGGACTCAGTTTGTCTCTTGGTAGTATACTTTTAAAGGAGTTGGGTTGCACCTGATTTTAATTCCACTATCGGTCTGTTCACAGCAAGGAGTCCCAGTCAACTGCTGGTGAGGAACGGCCCCCTGAAGCAGATGGCAAAAAGGGCAACTCCCCCAGCAGCGAACTGCCCCCTCCCAAGACGGCTTGGGCAGAGACCTCTCGGCCTTCAGAGACAGAGTCGGGGCCTCCTATCCCAAAGCCTCCCCCACCCCCACCTCACCGGGGCCCCGCCGGGAACTGGGGCCCCCCTGGGGACTACCCAGTGAGTGTCTATAAATGAGGGGTTGAGGGGGTCAGTTGTGGGTGATAATGGCATCTGAGTAATTGAATGAGCAGTGATAGAGGAAGTTGAAGGGAGGGCTGAAAATGAACTGCAGGAAGTGTAGAGCTTTAGAGCATCTCTTACAAGGTTTGGAACATACTTAGTATTAGAGAAGTCTGGGTGAAAAGAAATTGGGATGCTATTGAGAAGAACAAGGAGGCCTGGGTATTTTTGTGTCTCCGAAAGGTGAGGAAATAAGACTAGGATGATGAGTTTGTCCCTACCCAGAGAGACCATTCACCCAAGGCCTGGTCCTTGCACTCGCAACTAGAGACAGTTGATCCGTCCCTGGAAGAGGTCATGATGACTGACACCTCTGGCCCTGCTGGGTCTACCTGTTGACAGGATCGTGGCAAGCTCCCAGCACCCGAAGACGAGGATGAGGCATGGAGGCAGCGGCGAAAACAGTCTTCGTCTGAGATCTCCCTGGCTGTAGAGCGTGCCCGGCGACGGCGGGAGGAGGAGGAGCGCCGCATGCAGGAAGAGCGCCGGGCAGCCTGTGCCGAGAAGCTCAAGCGACTTGATGAGAAGTTTGGGGCACCTGACAAGCGGCTCAAAGCAGAGCCTACTGCTCCACCTGCTGTACCTCCTTCCCCAGCTCCACTGCTTACAGTTCCCAAAGAACTACCTGCACCTCCAGCTCCCCCACTGGCATCAGCCCCAACACCAGAAAAAGAACCAGAAGAGCCAACACAGGCTCCTCCTGCCCAGTCCACTCCCACTCCAGGTGTGGCTCCATCTCCCGCCCTGGTGAGTGGTGGTGGCAGTACCAGTAGCACCAGCAGTGGCAGCTTCGAAACCAGCCCAGGTATGGAGATGGCGATAGGTACTACCAGGTGTTAGATCTCTTATCTACTTGAGTCAAGGGTTAGTAGGAAGGATTGGAGGAAGGAAGGTAGAAGGTACTTGTTTTGGTTTATTGGATTATCTGTGTGGGGTGGGGATTACTACCTGAGTGCCTTAATAAGTAGTAACTTAAAATCTTTTCCATAGCCTTGTGTGGGGCAGGACTCTAAAGAAGGTCTGTTATTTTGGTGGTTTTGTGGGAAGTACCTGCCACCACCATTGGCTCTTGAGAGGCCATGAAAGTGTTTCACGTGTTTAAAGTGGGAAAGACTTATCTTTAGAGAGGGAGCTAGAGTTGAGAGCTGAAATTACAGGAGTGTTCGTGGACTATCTGTAGTGCTTTATGCCACTCTGACTGTTTTTTTCATCAATACAGTAGAACCCCAGCTGCCCTCAAAAGAGGGTCCTGAACCATCAGAAGAGGTTCCTTCTCCTGCCACACCCCCAGCCCTAAAGGTGGAACCCAAGGGTGATGGGGTTGGTCCCACCCGGCAGCCCCCTAGCCAGGGCTTGGGCTACCCCAAATATCAGAAGTCGTTGCCGCCTCGTTTCCAGCGGCAGCAGCAGGTGAGATTGAGTTACTTCCCCTCTTAAAGGCTGCTTTTCTCCCTAGGTTCAACATTTATTTTGTTTGTAAGTTCCCTTTTTGGTTCATCTACCAGTTCTATCTCCATCTGATCTAGTTAAATCTTACATTTATGTATGAGCTTTTTTTGCGGGGGCAGGGGGTCCTTTTTCTATTTGGTAGTGGGGAG